GGATCACTCGAAAGATAAGTCATTGGTGGACTGTTTATCACCAATTCGCAATCACATATCAAATTCATTAACTCTGCATAGTCCAAGGACGCCCTTCCAAGAACTCTTCTCAGCAATTGCTTTACTATGCCAATCAATCGTTAAAAAAACCTGCCCGCCACGACGTATCTACTAGGGGGAAATGCCACAAGATGCGCTGGATTGTCGTTTCATGAGTAATTTTGTCCAAGTCCCAGAGTAGCAAACGCGTTATCAGCATCTCTAAAATTAATTCCGTTATCACTGTAGAGGATCTTGGGTCTTCCACGCCTCGCAACGAATTTACGCAAAACTTGCAGAAAATGCAATGTTGACAATGATGTAACTAGTTCTAGATGAATGGCACGATGTACTGTACACGTGAACAGACAAATCCAAGACTTTTCTTCATTTTTCAAAAACATTGGATCGGCAAAGTCTACGCCTGTTATCTCAAAAGGCGCCGAATTACACATCCTATCTTCTGGTAATGTTGGAGACTTCAGTGGAAACGATTGCGCTGTAATCCCCGGCAAATTCCACACTTTCAGAGAATTGATCTAACTGCTCGCCTTCCTCCCAAGATCCAGTACTTTTCTCGTAATAGACATAATAATCCCTGGGTTACCACATGACACGACTTCCTATGCACATCTTATATCAGAATTTCAATGACAGAATGTTTCGGCGAAGGCAAAAGGATTGGGAAGCGATAATTATTATTTGTGTCTGGTCTATTGGAAACTCTTGACTTCAGTCTTATTATCTGTTGATCATTATGAAATGGGTTTAAGCTTATGATTTTATCATCATCGAGAAACGAAAAGCTTTCCTTTTGAATAATTCCAAAAATGAATTGCTCTGAAGTGTTTAATTCGTCCACTGACAATTCACCACCTCTTCGAGAACTGGGACTTTTGCAATTATACACAAACCGATGTAAATATGCCATCATTCTTATTGTTTTGTCAAATTTACTAAAGTATGCAATGTGCCAATCAACGTCCCTTTTTGCATTTGCCAAATCCATTACCCTTTTCCTTTTCTTTTCCCTAATAACCCTCTCTTCATCAATGTCTGGAGGCTTCGAAAACCATTGTTCTTCAGGCTTATATAACTAATCTGGCCCCTCCAACCATCTTGACTCTTGACTCATAACGCTGTTTAGGTGAGCACCCACAAGATGGCAGGTCAGCAGGATATCTATTATCTAGTCCCTGGAATGTGATTCCACTCAAGAAAAGGAGTCAGTTTTCTAATTTCAGCCACTCGATTGAATACGAAAGTACCCCATTCTTCATTGCGCTGAATCCAGAACCCTATGCTGGAACAACGTTTCAAACGCCAAATATACCAAACAAGCGCGAAACTAGGGCGGTTGCACTTAAAACGTTATTGCACAGAAAGGACATACTGGGCCAATTGAAATGACATCAACATTTCATCAAAAAAAAATCATATTATCCCACTATTAAGTTGGCGAATTATCCAGGGTACAATACACCGTTATTCCATGGAAATACCGTTTTTACACATTCTCGTTTACAACGTTGTTCCAGCATAGGGTTCCATTGTATAACTGTTGAAGAGTCATTCCAGAAAAAACAATCTCAAAGTCTTTGTCAAATTTTTAATGACTTTAGTGTAAAGTCTAGCACCAATCGTTGCGGCCATAAGCTCCAAGCATGAAATTGTCAACTTTCGAATAGGAGCAACCCTTGATTTAGCAGCCAATAAGTAGACATAAACCTGGACATGATTCAAGGCAACTCTGGAAAATACAACCATAGCATAAGCATCCATCGAAGCATCAACAAAGGTGTGAATAATACTTCTGTTTTTAACTTTTGGGGCTTTAAATCTGCACCAACGAGGACTTTCAATCTAAAGGAGGTAGGCTAGGTCCGCCATCCAACTTTTAAACAATTCGGCAATATCTATCAACATCTACCTCTTCGTCCCATGATATTTATTTTTTTCCAGAGACTATGTAGCCATTATTTTAGGTAATAATGATGCCGGCGATATAAATCATATAGTCGAATATCTTCTGGGCCATGGACAACAGTTTTCTTTTTGTCACAAACATGTTTCCTGTCTTCAATGCTGTTAAGTCTTGATTGACCGTAATGATGTCGTTTTTTGGGTAGCAATTTAATCCAAGGACCGAAACTCGGTCCTCTTTACTGCTACAACTTCCAGTAAACTCCAATCCGCGAGGCTCAAACTGTGCCTCTGTCATAACTTCTGTAGACCCCTTGATAAATTTGTCCAAAATCTCTTAGCTCTGCACACTCGAGAAACAATTGTCAACATAGAAACTTCTTGAGAGTTTTTCTGTAGTATCTTTAGTATAGGCGCATCCGGCAATGAACAATTTTTGATATTTTTAGATAGATGATTTTTGGTAGTTGTTCCAAGTAGGAACGGGCTGCAGTTGCCTCCGAAATCCACTTGGTTATGTTTATAAACAATTTCCAGTCCTTGTTCATCAACCCAGAAAAAATTTAAAAACTGACTGTCCATTGCGCTTACACTAATTTGTAAAAATGCCTTTTTAATGTCTGATATTACACCAATCTGAAATACTCGAAATTGTATGAGCAATGCAGGAATAAGCTCTATAAAGTTCGGCCCCTTCTCTAGGCACTGGAACAGAAACGGATTCTCTTTTTCACGAGCAGATACATCAAAGACTGGACGCACTGCGGTTGTAGAACCTTCTTTAATGACTGGCCGATGAGGTAGAAATTGTCCTTCTTCTGTCTTTCTGAACCCTTTCAATAAGCTTCATGGACAAGGGCGTACCCAGTGGGGGGCAGAGGTGGCTGCTGCCATCATATCTTGAGATAAAATTGTCCCTATTCAGTTTTTGTATGCTCGATTCCAGCCTCTTTTTCGCTACTAGATAATTGGTACCCTGCACAGGATTTCCATCTAACCACTTCATACCTGCCTTCACTGTTTACTGTTACAGTCTGTGCCAACCATTTTTTTGCTGACTTTCGCTGATTCGAGAACAGAGACATTACAATTATGGCATGAGATTTCTGTGTGGGAACTTTTCCTTCAATTGACCAACCAACTTGAGTTTCATAAGCTACAATACCACATTTCAGTACATGACGATTCCCCGTATACAACAAACCTAGAACATCAGCTCCGAACAGAACAATAGGATCCTGCCCATCATAATCAGAAACTTCTATATTCAAACATTTCAATTCGTGCATCCAGGGGGGGTTTATTTGAAACGTGCAATTCAAATACGTCTGACTAAGTCACAATTTTCGCCGGTATTTCAATGCTAAAAAATGCGACTTAGTCAGACGAATTTGAATTGCACATTTCAAATAAACCCCCCCAAAGGCTCATAGAAAACATGATATTTAATTACATATGTTTTCCTGGTCAAGGACCTCAAGGTTGAAACTGGAATATTTCCCAAAAATGTTGATGTCATAAAAATAGTGTTTACCATCCATTACAGAGCCACCAAATAGACAATGAACAATTTCTTTCTTTTGGGTTTGTTTGGGTTTCAAACCAAGCAATGATGCAGTCGACTTCCGAATATAGGACCTCTGTGATTCACTATCGATAAGTGGTCGAACACTTTTCACCACACTTGGGCCTCGAACGTTGATTTTCAAGGTCTTTACGCGAACATGTGTTGATTCGCCAGTGTTTGGTTCTTGTGCATGGTTTTTTTGGTCTCATTGCCAACTTCTCTTTGAATCTAAACTTGATCTGTAGACTGCATTTTCTCTGGCAAATTTTGAGACATCAATGGTACGTGTGAATAACCACAAATTATACATTTCAGTTTTGAACGACATTTTTTAGGTAGGTGGCCTTTTTTCAAACATCTGAAACATGCCTCTTTTTTATTGACTATCATTTTCCTATCATTCAGCAGCATTTTCTGTGTTTTAAAACATGCTGCACTTGCATGCAAGCCTGAACAAAAAATGCATTTGGCTACATCAGTATTAACAACAAGTCCTGCTGCTGTGACAGGAGAATATCTTACTCGTGGTCCTTTTTGCCAACTTTGTGAGTGCTCAGAAGGGCCACCGATATTATCAAGATTGGCTGCTAAACCAAAGCTCTCATTAGCCAAAAATTTTTTTCGTTTTCCACCTCACTACGTATAAAATTCATGAGATTCTGTAGCTTGACATCCAGGGGATCTGAATTGGTACCGGAACTGAACAAAGATCTCTGCCAAATTCTCGAGAGTTCGTGCGGCAAACACGATTCAATGAGTGGAAATAATAATGCCGCATACTTATCAGACGTGATATCAAGTGTGTCAAGAGCCCTCAGTGGGGTCTCAATTCTGTCATAGAGTTCTGAAAGTACCAACTTTTACTGGGACATAGCAATGTTTTGAACTAACTTTAGTAGTTCTCGGACATATTTGTAAGTCCTTCCTTCCAAATCTTGAAAGCAGGCACTCGATAATTTTTTGATTATCTCCCACCACAGAAATTGCGACCAAAAAGCTAGCCATTCACTAATATTGCCATCAAATGTTTTGAACTGGATGCGAGGAAGTAAACATTTTCGCTTATTATTTGATGCTGGTGTGTTACCACCTGAGATTACACTGGCATGGTGTATTCTTTCGATCTGAACAAACTGATCGAAGTGACTTGAGGTTAGTTTCAAACAATTTTCATCCGGTTTTAAAACTATTTCATTGGCCCCAGCTGTTTTTTTGACGCCTCATGAACAAACCTCATGTGATCACAATCAGTTTGTTCAGATAGCAAGAATACTAGGATTATCTTGAGCTTCATATGGTGCAAGACATTCTCCAACTGCTAATTGCAATTTGACAAAGCGTTTATGATACGAATCAGCTGTGTCCATATTTCAGTTAAAAGTTGCTCATTCATTCAAATTTATTGTAGAAAGCTCTCTATATGAATCCGCAGAAAAAATATATATTTATCTAAAATTTTATTTGATTTTAGGGCAAATGTTCTTGATGAACAGATTCTTCGACGGTGCCTTCCTCATGTTTGGCTTCGATGTCATCGCTTTCGTCAACGCCGACCAAGAGGATCGGATCGACCCCATGATCCAAATTTTTCCCAGAATGACCAAATGCACGTTCCGAAAGTACGGCGTTTCCGGTGACGAAGAAAAACACGACGCCCTTTGCATATTACCATTAAACGTAGTCAACGAAAAAATTTACGTATTCCTATGGTTCTGGTTTATAATTTTAGCCATACTGACATTACTCACGGTGATTTATAGGATAGTCATAATATTTTCGCCACGCATGCGTGTTTATTTACTCAGAATGCGTTACAGACTGGTGCGAAAAGAAGTGATAGACACTATAGTGCGTAGAAGTAAAATGGGAGATTGGTTTCTGTTTTATATGTTGGGTGAGAATGTGGACTCGTTAATATTTAGGGACGTTTTACAGGATTTGGCGCACAAATTAAATCGGCACGATTTTCATCACGCGCCTGGATTTAAGGGTGAAATTCAGGAAGCCTAATCCCTTTTTGATAGCTTTTAGTATCTCAGGATCTCAAAATGCGGTTTAGTTCATCGATATTTATGAGAAATTGCCAATACAATTAATTGAATAGTGCTTGCAGCGAAATTATTCAAAAAAAAAAGAACGGAATTCTCTTTGAGCCATATTTTGCTTCTACACCAGTTAAAAATTAGTGCACACATTAAATTATTATAAATTCTGCTTTTTCCTATAAAATTAATGAAAATAGGTACACAATGGAATATCTGATAAGTCGTTACAAGCTCTTCTAAACTATTTTTGAAATACCTACCTAGCTATTCATGTTTGGGCAGGTTTTCACTAAAGTTGCGGTTTAGAAAACCCAAAAGGGAAACTTATTATACAATCAAAAATTTTTGATATTTTCCAAATTTTGAAATCATTTCTAGCTTCTTGCAAATTACACAACTATAATTATAATACAATAAAAATTTATCCCTCCTTTCTCATAACCATAACTTCTTCTAATCCTATTTCAAAATTATTTTTAAGACTCATCAGTACCTACCTATCAATGCTTTGATAATTTCCTAAATCATGTTTTCTCTTTGGTTTTCTAGATATCTGCTATAACAAATGATAATCTTCTTTGAGTAACTATCCAATTTGTAGGTGTTTCTTTCTAGTATAAAAATTTTGGACGAAAAGATCAATTCTTGACACTTTGTCGAACGCGCAATGGAATATTCACTGTTTAGTTTGAACATATTTTCATAATTACTATTTTAAAAATGATCTTGCAAAAACTCTTTACACTGCCAAAGAAACTATAACTAGAGACGTAAATTTCCGCTGTGACTTTATGTGCCAAATCCCAAGTGCCATAATAAATAAATTTAATTAGAGACCTATTATTATTATTATTATTGTATTGTGCCAATTTATTGTGTGATAATGACAATAAGTCAATACATTTATTAATTAATTTTTAAATAGAGTAGGAAACATTTTATTTATTTTGTTCTGTTTTATTAAAAATTTCATTCTAACAAACATTCCTAGTCAAATGAAAGGCTTTATGTTTTATCAGAACTTTTGCTTTCCTTCTTTGTGTTTTATTTATCTCATGCCAGCTTTTTTTTACCAATAAAAAATATAAATGTCAATCCAGTGACCGCAGTGTATATACTTTATTAAAATATCAAATTTGTTTTAGGCCTCCACTTTTATATCTGTAATTTAGTTTATATTATTTATTTTTTTGTTAAAGAAAAGTCGTTATTAGGATTTTGTTGTTTTGTAATGTATTGGAAATAAAACGAGATACTTTTAGACTTTAGTGTCGATTTGTATTTTCACTTGAAAACGTAGCTCTCAAGACTATTCCTAATAGAGCTTCCTATAGAGAATCAACATAATATGTACGAATAAACAGCCAGCGAAAAGGTTTAACAGTAAGAAAGGAAAAAGTTAATTTGAAAACGCGTTTTTTATTGAACTGGTTTACGAAAGTGTTTTCAAATTTTCACCAACAAAAATTCTAAAAAAAAAACTCTGATTAAAGTTTTGGAGTGACATCCGCTACCCAGACGTGACTGCGACCTGTAAGATCTATTGTGACCCTCTTTTTGCCCTCTTTACCACTACCAGACTCTATAACCTCGTCTGTTTTGAGGCTTCTCGCCTCTGGGATTATTGCAACTATTTTTTTTTTGTATCTCGCTCAGAAATTGACGTTAAAAATTCCATAAAATCTCAATTTCTATGTTAACAGACCAACTGAAACTCACCTCTATATTTATTATCTGAAAATTTACCTAGTTTTTTGATAATACGATTCATCATATTAGTTAGGTTAGAATCGCAAATTGGCGCGGGTTCCTAGTTTAAAAATTAATACATTGATGTCTTATGGGGACTCAATTTTAAAAGCGTCTGTAGACGTGATAGAAAATTGTTACGGAATTGAGTTGTATAAATAGTTTTTTTAATATGTTAATTAACTGAGAGAGTGTTTGAAAGTTGAATAAACATTGTTAAAATAAAAATATTACCAATTTAAGAAGCCGATATTTGTATAAAATACGTATGTCGTTGCTTGATCCATAAGTATATATGAGTACCTAATTATAATAAAATAAAAGTTTACCTACATACTTGGTTAGTAAATGTACTTCAATAATTCAAAAAAATTGAAAAATAAATGACTGAACTAGTGATAAATAAATAAATAAACAATTCACCAACAATCATAACACAACACACAACCTCACTTTCTCTCAGCTGGTTTTAGACCCGATGGACGTTCACCGAAAACAGACACTTTTAATTAAAATCATTTGTATTTTTAATTCATAGGTCTAAAAAAACAATTAGAGTATGAATTATAGAGAAATATGTTCAAAGTTTGATGTACAATAGGTTCCAATACTAAGAAATGCCCAGAACCCAAGATATTCCCGTCTGAAAATCACTCTTTTGAATCCCCCATAAGAAATACCTTGCTGTCAAATTTGTTGAAATGTGTTTAGGAACCCATTTTAAATTTCGCGCCCGATTTTTCCTAACCTAACTAATATGGTCAATTAGACTTCAATTTATTCATAGTCTGCGTATATGAATCTGAAGCCTAATAGGACTACTTTCTGTAGAAGCATAAGTTTGATTCGGATCTTCAATAGATCCTAAGTTATTTTTATCATAATCATTATTATCTGTATCTGAATAATTTGTCAAGTCCTCATTTTCACGTGCAATAATTGTCTTACGTAAATGATTACGTCGCAGGACGCTGCCACCATTGTCAATCAAATAAGACCTAAGGGACTCATGTTTGGTGATTTGATTATAGTCGCTGGGCAGCACTGCTTAGATTCTTTATATACAACATTTTCTCCCTCTTTAAATTCTGATCTATCCATAGCGACCATACAGCATGCCTATCATAATATTTCTTATACAAATTGTTTTTATGTTTCAACTCTTTTTTGAACTCTGTAATTTCAGATTTTTGTTTCTCTACAATTGGTAGTTTAGTTTTAAGTTTTCTTGAAAATAGAAGTTCAGCTGAGTGATCGCTTCAAACTTGTTATCGGAGTATTTCGATATTCCATTAAAGATTCCTAAATATCAGACTCACGAATTATGTTCTTATTAGCCGTTCGAACAAACCTTCCTGCCAATCCATTAGACCTGGGATATCTAAGGCTACTTGTTTTAAAATCGAATTGATCTGCAAAAACCTTACACTCATATGAACGAAATGGCATATTATCAACGACAATAATATCAGGCACTCCATGAGTTGCAAATATTTGCTTGAATACATTCATAACGTCACAAGATTGTTTTTCTTCTATAGGTATTATTTCAAGCCATTTAGTCAAATAATCTTCAATCAAATACCTATGATTTCCCACTGTATTCCATTATGTCGCAACCCAACTTTTGATGAGGTAGTTCAGGAATATCATGTGTAATTAATGATTCTTTCACATTTGCATAACTAAATTTTTCACAAACCTTACAATCTATATATATATATAAATGAATGCCACTTTTCGTTGTAATTTTATAACTCAAGAACGGACTCACCTAGCCAAACCAAATGTTTAGGCTTTGTTCGGACTATTTATTAGATGGTTTATGTGAAGTTTGCACAAAATCGGTCGAGCGGTTCTTCATTTATCACATTTTTTGTAATAAATTAATTATTCAATAAATTTGCTGTCAAATTGAAACTTTTTTCAGCGTTGACAGTACCAGCATGTTGTTATGTCATTAATGTGGTCATTTCATTACTTCACAGAATACATATCCTTACGGATAGAAGGCAAACTGCCTAATAAAATTTTGGGGAACAATGCGCCGTCACGGCGCGGTGGATGCGATCCGAACTATTTATAATAAAGGTTTCTGTAATCAAATCAGTTTTCAAAATAGTTCTTCCAATGTCAATATTTTTAATATTAGATTTTTTCGGACTTCAGCTCAGAATTGAACTATGCTTTCGCATTTTGTTACATAGGTTTTATATGACCAAATGCGCAAGCGCAGTCCAATTTAAAACTGATTTTGAACTGAAGTCCAAACAAACCTTTTTCCTCATTATTGAATATTGACGGATTTTTCTTCCGAGTAGAGCAAAAACGGCCAAACTTCTGGTGTTTTGTATAAAATCTGATTTTTTTTTTTAAATTTAGGAAACATTTATCTGGATTTAAAATGCACACTAACACCAAGACGAATTCTCATTCAGAACTATTTTGAAATATTTTTTTTAAACATAGGTAACAGGTAAACTGCCAAAGTAAACAGTGACATATTTTTTGGTGGCGTTCATTCCGCACCTGTACTTCTGTTTCACTCCAGCGTCCCCAAGCGGATGCGATCCGAAGCTCTTTTTTTAGGCCCCGCCCTCCATTAAGCTTTTTTTTCTATCCGTGAGGATATGTGTTCTGTGCATTACTTATTCTATTTATTTATGAAAAAAATTTACTAAGCCCGCATACGGCGCCATGTCTTATAACCGATACCAAGTTTATTTTGTAATTTGTATTTTGTATACCGCGCCATCTCTGACACAAAAATCTCTGATACCTGGAACGAAGCTCGGCATTGCAGATACAATAGAACAATGCTGCACAGAACTATTCCACTATTCCGATCAGATAGAGTGGTGCAGAAAGAGTAGGTCAGATAGAGTAGTGCAGATAGAGTAGAACAGATGGAGTAGTGCAGTGCATGCAGTGCAGATAGAGTGAAATAGGGCTGCGCTAGAGATTTTTTTTGTTTTCTTTACATTCTTTGAACATTCCTGTGCCTGAGTTTATTTATTTGGTGGTACACTTTACAAGAATAATGCCCACAAGCTGCCTATAAAAGGATGATGTAAAATTTTAATTTTAGGTGACTTCTGACCCAGAGAGTAAACATTAATTTTCTTCAACCAAAGCCAAATTCACCATCGAAAAAAACTGAATTTAATTCAGCTAATAGATACGTTAACACAACATTTAATAGGTACCTATATTTAATACTTCAGAGGCGGTACGAAGTTCGCCGGGTCAGCTAGTGCTCTATAATTTTCTCAATATCCATACTCATACCTGGCCAAAACAATGCTCCACGAGCTCTATCTCTAGTTCGACTTATACCAAAATGTCCCTCATGCAATATTTTTAACATTCCTTTACGCAAAATCTCAGGCACAACCACAGATCACCTAATACAGATGCGAAAGTACGTATACTTGTCGTCGACGATATTCTGTGACGAAGCCGGGCCGCCAGCTCCCCGACGCATAGATAAAGATCGCCCGCATCAGGACAATTAACGTGGCCGAGTGCGTGAGCATGTTCCAGCCTGTGCGTTTACATATTTTTGCGGCTAAAAAAAAATATTTTTTTGCTGTTTGTGAACCAATTAAAGAAATAATATTATATTATTGAGCTTCCGCATTTATATAATAAATATGTTCAAAATACATTGATGTGGCATTGTTGCGGCCAGCCTATGTCTATCAAATTAATCTTGAACCACGAATTCGCAGCTCTTTCGCATCTGTATGTAAGTAATCTGTGGCACAACTACTCTATCATTGTAAAATATGAGATTATCAGTCACATGTTTTAGGGTTATTAATAGCCCTAATCTTATATTTTCCATGGTCTTGTCATGCTGTTCCACTGTATCACACGCTATCAACAGATCATCAAAATATATCTATTATAACATTATCAAGATCCACAAAGTTTTTAGGATTAATTTTTTGGAAATATTTAGGTGCCAGATTCAAGCCAAATGGTAACCTGCGAAACTTGTAACAACCAAACGCAGTAGCAAATATTGTTAAATTACTAGACGGTTTATTCAATTTTATTTGATAGAACCCATCCTTGAAATCTAATACAGAAAAATATTTCTTGACTGCTAATCTACAACTAATTTCTTCCAGACTAGGGATTTCAAAAAATTGCCTTTCAATGCACTTATTCAAGTCTGGAGGATCTAAACATAACCTTAATTATTTATCAGGTCTTTCGATAATTACTAAATTATTTACCCACTCACTTGCCTCATCTACTCTGCTTTTAATATTTTGTCTTTGTCTAATCTATCTGTTTGCTTCAACCTATCTTTTATGTGTAGGTACAGGTATACTGTTTTCCATTAACTCTATTTTACAAATATCCTGGAAAGTGCCTATACCTTCAAAAAAATCCCTATTTTCACAATTTATTTTCTCTTTATCCTGAAAAAAACGTTTGACAATAGTATATTGTGTATTTAGGTGGAAAAGTGACACATTCTTGGCCGACTAAGTAAGTTCACGAGGTAGGCATAGCCAAGGCCAGCAAACACC